CTGGTTTTTGTGTCCGTGTGGCTTTTGTGCCTGTGAATATTTTAACATAATTGCCGTGTAAGCGAAATGTACAGCTTCTGGGGCTTTAAGCCACTCTTTTTTTAGGCCATTTTTGGTGGCGCCTCGTATGAATATGCCACATTGTTTATGGGGCTTAATTTGCATTTGTCTGTTGCTCATTTATGCGACATGGCCGGGTCTGCGTCTGCTGATGCCTTTTGCATCTGTCTATCTGTGTATCTTTGTATCTTTGTATCTGTGGAGTGCATTGCCCTTTTGTGGCACTCGCAGATAAATCCACATACATTTATGTATATTCATATATCACAGATACATTTATATCTGTGTTGCACGGGGCATTAATGTCGCTTTGAATGGGGCTTCAGATCGTGCACGTCCTTGGCTGGTGGGTGGCTGTTGGCTTTAAATTTTCAATTCGCATGCAATGACTTAATTGTTCATAATTTTGTTATCAGATTAACACAAATTCCGCTTAACGATAATGACTTCATGCAGTTTATGGGCAGTGCGTGCGCCAGTATCCAGAGCCGAGGACCCGGGACCCTGGGACCCTCAGCAAAGGACACGGCGCGGCACTCGGGGCACTCGCGGCACTCGCGGCTTATCCATTATCAGCTGCACGCCAGCACTCGTCGGACCACTCTCACTCACCCTCTACCTCTCTTCCCCTCCCTATCAATGTCCTTCTCTAGGGGCCATTGGATTTTATCGCAGGACAACGCTGATTAAATATCAACGTAATTTATTATTCAAATTAAGTTTATCGCCGAACAAAAGGCAGACGGAATGCCCTGAAATGGCGTATCCAACTCCCCCCCCTTACACGGAAGTTTATGTGGTCTACACTGAGAGAAATCTATTAGCTAAATTGGTGGAAAATTATCTTATATTTCAGGTATAAGGTGTACTGTGGCTTCCAAGGAAAATCTGGGTTTATATTTGGGGGTGAAATCAGCTACAAAGCCACACTGGGAAAGGTCAAGAGAGGGCGAGCGTAATTTCGTATATTGGGGATCAAAAACGATAACAAAGAGAGTGCCACTCTTTGGGTGCATAAAAACCCATTTTTTAATGCTAAGACACACTGGGAGAGAGAGAAATATTTCCCGAAAAATCCTTGCAAATAATTTCACGAAATTTACAAGTTTTTAGGACGACGTTTTTTTAAACTTTTTCACAATTTTGGTGCTAAGCCACACTGGGAGATGGCGATAGAGGCAAAGAAAGAACGAGGGCACGCTCGAAATTTTGTATTTTCTGGGTATAAAATGCCAAAAGGAGTGAGTGATGATCTTCGAGTACTGCTAGGCCACACTGGAAGAGAGAGAATAGACTCGAAATGAAGACCACCCTTGAAGACTAAGCCACACTGGGAGAGAGAGCCCATTGCCTACATTTTGGAGAAATATATATCAGAGTGTTGTGTGTTTTTTCGAGTGTAGGATTATTCATGTCCATACATCAGTCCATATATGTACATATGTGTGGGTGTTCCAAATTGACATATCGCTTTCATACACTATACATGCATATGTGTGTGTATACATGGACCCCTCCCACCCCTCCCCCCAGCACCCTTTTAGGCAAACAAATTAGCTACGGGTATAGGCTATCCATAACAGAGCGACAGAGCAGCGACCAGAACTCCGACTCGTACTCGTGCACTCCACTAAAGTACATGCCACTCGCCTATCACGTGGATTTTCATATACATACGAATACATATATGTATGTGTGTGTGTGTGTATACATATAGTATGCATCGCATACACAAATGAGAATTTTGACGCTCCATGGGGTTTTCTATCAAAAATGCATTTGTCATTATAAATGCAACGTGCAACCAACCAGCACTCAACGTGCATCGTGCCTCGTGCATCGTGCTCGCTCTCTCTCCCTGTCTCTCTCTGACACAAAACTCATTTCAGGGGTAGATGGAAAATGACATGTGGAAGGTGCATGTGGCGTGTGGCATGTCGAGGTGCTTATATCTTTGATTGAAGGGGAGAAATGATTTATGCTTCTCGCAGGGAGTATACAACAAATATTTATAGCATCTTAAAACTAATTGGAAATTAAGCAAAGGAATCGGATTTTGTGGAATAAAACTATATCAACGCCAGGCCAACAATCATTAGGCCTTAAGGATCTTTTATTGAGCCATAGAACACCCCTTAAGAAAGCCTCTACAGATCATAAGAAATCCTCTATGAATTCCTGCGGTATCCCTTTTCTGGAAGCCTAAAAGTGTCTTTGATCGAGGGAAAAGGAAGCTTTATTGTGGTTCCAAGAGAGATTATTAGAACACTCCTTCCCAGAGGAGATCTCTCAATATATATCTGTCTCAATCCATATGATCTTTAAGCCCATTCTACTAGCTTTTAATTCTATGATATTTTAATGATTTTGTTTCTTCATTTTTTATAGATACCCTATAAAGTACCCCCTAGAAAACGAAAAGCTGCTAAACAGGTAAGCCCACCATTTTTAAGAGCATTCAATCATCAGCGTTTTATGCCCCAGCAAACATTTTGCCACTTGTTTAATTTTCAATTATAAATTCATATAAATTCAATGCCCGACGCTGGCCATTATCCCACTCATCCAGACACCGGCCCAGGCCCCACCTGGAAAAGCCTGCCCCATGGCCCTCGGGGCGGACACAATGGTGGGCTTTTGGGGGCCAGAGCCGCCATTATGTTGCCGCCTGAGTCGCCTAGATCTCTGCTGCTGCGGCCCGGTCGAAACGTGTTCAATAATTTTGTCAATAAAATGTCAGAGCAGAGCAGCGAGAGGCCTCATCGTAGTTGTGTTTGCCCCCAACAAAAAAAAAATGGAGTGAAGTGTTTTATTTATATTTTCTCTACTTTTTTTCTCGGCTGGGGCTGGGGCTGGTCGTGTGGCCTACAAATCGTACCCCTGAATGCGGCTGTCCTCTCTCTATCTCTATCTCTCTCTTCTCTCAGCTTTGTGTGTGTCCTCCCACTCGCACATTAAACTCATTGTGTTTATGGCATAAATTTGCATGTTTTTCACGTAAATTTTTCAATTTGAATGGACGTCGATCCTTTTTTTTTGGGGGCCAGCAATAGACTGGTAGGAGGTCCTGGGACATGGGTCCTTTGTTGGCAGAGGCCTTTTCTCGATAGGTTCGATAGGTGGCATGTTGTTGGAGATGTTAAACACAAAAAAACATTTAAAGGTGAGAGAAAGTCATCCATCGGGGGGGGCAGAGGGCAGATCAAATCAGTTTCGAAATTGATTTGTGTGCCCCAAGAGTGGCTTAGTTTATAGGTTTCCTCTGGGCCCTTAAAACTAGTTAAATTTGTAGATGTTTCATAAGCTAGAGGCCACAGGAAATTGACTTAAAAGCCACTGTTCTGCAGAGGCTGATGTCAGTCCTTAGCCTGGAAAAATCCATAAAAATCCAAGCTTAAAACTGTTTTCCCCATTTAATTTTTTAACCCACATTTAAAGCCAACCCCTCCCCCCCCCCTCTACTTGTGTGTGTGCTACTACTTTTTTTGTTAAATATTTATATGAATATTTATGTTTATATTTACTGTACGGGTACGGGCGGGTCACTCAAAAGCACGACAGTTTTCCGAGTTGATTTTTGTGCCCGGTCTTCGTTTTTTTTGCAGGACCTTCCATGCATGCAGTGTGTGTGCCAGTACCAGGACCAATACCAGGACTAATACCAGTACCAGGACCCCTGTATATAAGTGTCAAAGGCATGTGTTTAGCATGCCTCATTTGAGCGCAAATACACCTGCAGCCATCAATTATGCAAAGAGCCGGAGACCGAAGTCCGTTCCGGGGGCTTTTCGTCAGTGAGGCGTCTCCGTCTCCGTCTCCGGCTTCAGTTTGGGTCCTGGCTTTTTGGCTTGGGGCCTGGGCCTGCCTGCGCTTGCCTTTCTGGCCGTGTTCTGTTTAGACCAACTTCTAGTGGCAGGCAGGCAGGCGGGGAGGCGGCACATTCAACGCCAGCTGCCTCTCTCTTCGCTCATTCATTCAACCAGCGCTGCCTTCTCTCTAAATTAATTTATTGGCCTGCCTTGCATACACCAAATAACTGCAGTTTGCATAATCATCACACACACACACAGAGAGGGGGGAGGGGGGGAGAGGGGTAGCTTATATAATATTTATACAAACTGCAAGTTGACTGGCAACTCCTTTGGCTGGCTGGCGCCTGGCAGAATGCAGAAATTTCGGTGAAATATCCTTTGATGCCGAGTCGATTGCTAGGGTGGGGGGAGGGGGGAACAGGGATCGTAAAGAGAGGCTCAGACATTAGAACTAATCTTGGAGTAAACTCGAATCGAAGGACCAACGAAATTTAAGATTGTTTCCTGGGAATTTCGGGGAATTTCTAGAATTTCTCTATACAAAATATTGGGATACAGGAAAAGGAGATATTCGTTTTCTTTAAACAAAGCATTTGGACTATTTTGACTGCTAAGCCACACTGTGAGAGGGAGAGAGCATTTTAGATATATATTATTCAGAGATGTTTGAAGCGTTTAGAAATTCTTGTAATCGATTAAGTGGCCGAACCAAAAACCCAAGAAACGGAAACCCCTTTCCGCCTACGCCTCTGTGTGGGTGGGTGGGTGCCTCTGTGGCAGTGGCTTGGCTTGTACCTGCCACACGGACATAAAATTCATGCCGCAAAAGGTCATTGAAAATCGTTTATCGAAAACTAAAGTTTAATTACCAGAACACGCCCAATTTGCCACGCCCCCCGCCTAAGCCTGTAGCAGTAGCCCCTGCCCCCCCCCACCGAGAAAGGTTGCCTAATTGAGGGTTAACAATCTGAAAACTTATTGAACTACGAAGCAAGGACAACGCCCATCTCATCAATTATGCTGCTCAACGCAGGAGGAGAGTCCTCTGTGCTAAGGCTATAAAAGGCAGCAGGACGACCGGGATTATGAGCTGAAAAGTGCAGACGGAGAGCGGCAGTAGAGAGCGAGATGTTACCTCGATTCCTCACCTCGTCACTGGCCATGGAAAGGCATTATTTTCTGGTGCCAAAGTTTGCACTGTCGCTGATTGGATTCTACCCGGAACAGGAGCGAACTCTGGGCCTTCGTCTGTGGAGTTTCTTCAACTTTTTCATACTGGCCTACGGCTGCTATGCGGAGGCCTACTACGGCATACACTACATATCCATTGACATAGCGACGGCCCTGGACGCCCTCTGTCCAGTGGCCTCGAGCATTCTGTCCCTCCTGAAGATGGTCTGCATTTGGTATTACCGGGACGAGCTCAAGTCGTTGATTCACAGGGTCAGAACCTTGACGGAAGCACAGCACTCGGAGCGGAAGCTGGCCTACAAGAAGCGGTTCTTTACGCTGGCCACCAGGCTGACGACAGTGCTCCTCTGCGCGGGGTTTTGCACGAGCACTTCCTACTCGGTGAGGCATTTGCTGGACAATGTGCTGAGACGAGCCCACGGCAAGGACTGGATCTACGAGACGCCCTTTAAAATGATGTGAGTGAAAGGTATGAGGGCTGTTTTCCCATCTCTCAGATGATGGGGCTTCTATCAAGAGACTCCTGTCCGCCTCCTCCTGTGTTCGACGGCCATTGATAGCAGACTTCCTCGTAATTTGTAGAGATACTGGAAAAAAGTGAGTTCCTGTGCGCTCATTAGGCATTTCTTTGTGAAAAGAAGACATGACTCAATCCATTTCGATGGTAAAAAAGTAGTTTATTGAAGCCGAACATCCAGGATTCCCAGTTGAGGTCTCTAGACCCAAAAAAATTGACAAAAACTCACGATCGGGGATTGAAAGTTCGAGAGACTGTGGCTCGTACACCCTGTTGGGGCTTGGAAGGCTCCTGTAGCTTATTTTTCTTAAATTTCTACTTTAATTTAGTCTTCCCCTTCCTGCCCTTGTCATAGCTTTCCAGATCCTCTCCTGCGTTTGCCGCTCTATCCCCTCACCTACATCCTAGTCCATTGGCATGGCTACATCACGGTCGTTTGCTTTGTGGGAGCCGATGGCTTCTTTCTCGGCTTCTGTTTGTATCTGACGGTGCTGCTGCTCTCCCTGCGCGATGATGTCAACGATCTGCTGGAGGTTTCCAACATAGAAGAGAGCCCCAACGAGGAGAATGAGGCCCGTATTGTGCGGGACATGGAAAGGCTGGTGGATCGTCACAATGAGGTGGCGGAACTCACGGAGCGACTGTCGGGCGTCATGGTGGAGATCACCCTGGGGCATTTTGTCACCTCTAGTCTCATTATAGGAACCAGTGTGGTGGATATGCTGTTGGTGGGTTGGCTTTTGTTTCTATATAGATCGGTGTATCTTTTATTAGCTCTCTCTTTTCTTTTGTAGTTTTCTGGCGTTGGCATCATCGTTTATTTGGTGTACACCTGTGCTGTGGGCACTGAAATCTATCTGTATTGCCTGGGAGGGACGCACATCATGGAAGCGGTGCCTATGGTCTCAGATTTCTGTCTCCGAAGAACCTTCTTTAAGGAATCTTTCGTTTCTATCTTCCATTTAGTGCTCGGATCTGGCTCGTTCTACGTTCGCCAGTCACTGGTATGGCCACAGTGTAGGCGTACAGAAGATGGCTCTCCTGATGGTGGCCCGCGCCCAAAGGGTCCTCACCATCAAGATTCCTTTCTTCTCCCCATCGCTGGAGACTCTTACGTCGGTGGGTGATCTTTAGTGCCCTGTAATTGGGTCTCTTTTAAAGGTCCTTTCTTTGTCTGTAGATTCTACGCTTCACTGGTTCTTTGATTGCTTTGGCCACGTCCGTGATTAGATAGAGGAAACTCGGGAACTCTTACGTTTTGGAGATTAAAGATAAATAAAACGAATTGGAATTTGGAGGATTAATCAATGAAATTTCTTAGAGTTTTCCTAGCCCTCTTCCAGTGTGACTTAGCAGTGAGAATAGGCTCTAAAATATTACCGAATTTCGATCGGTTTGTAATGGCTTACGTTGCAGAAATCGCTATCCCCTACCCGTATCATTTCCCTTCTTTTCCGTTCACTCTCTTGAAACTCATTTCCTTTTGTAATATTTCTTTCATTCTTTCAGCTTCAGCTTCTGTTCTGCTCTGCTCTGCTCTCCTTGTGTCTCTTCATCGTCTGTGCGTTAATTCGTGTTTCGGTTTACTTTTCATTTTTGCTGGCTCTGCCATGCTGCCACGCTGCCACTCTGCCTCGAATGACCCTCTGATTGTTGTTCTGGATGTTGTCGAATTAAAGCTGCAATGTTGTTTAACATCTCTTCCCCCGCCGACCCCCGGCGAGCCCCACTTTCTGCTTGCTGCTCCTTTCTCTCTGGCAAATTGGTTTCTTTACCGGTCCTCATTGCAGAGTCCTCTCGGAATTGCACAGCTCTCTGGGGGGAAAACCTTGCTCTGCTTTCCCACACTTTTCCCGCACTGCACTGCACTGCACTCTTTGGCACTTTCCCCTTGGCCATTCCACTTGGCCATTTTCAGGCTGCAGTTGTGCTTACAGTTCATTTCCATGCTCTCGCACTTGCAGTCACACTGCCACACCCACCCACACCCACACGCACACACCTTAATGACATCCGGACGGGGTGGAGTGTACACTGAACAAAATGGGTACAAAATGTGGTTGAAATCAATGAAGGAGAGTGATCTTATCCTCAAGATTCCCAAGTCTGATTGCCACCGGATCATTATTATAGCCAAAAGGGAATTCTCCTTGGTTTCCCCTCTTCCAGTGTGGCTTATTACGCCTGCGTTACTTCTATGGAAGCTGTCAGACCCAATCTTTCGTAGTTTTTCCCAAGTGGACGGTTCCGGGGATACATCATATCCGTCGGGGGCCCTCCCTCCCACTCTTTTTTCTGGGACTCCCTCTCAAAGACAACCTCTTCAATGATGTTGATGTTCTCTGTGCGTGTGTGTGTTTTGGGGTTCTTCTGGGTTTTTCCCATTGTTCATGCACCAAATTCTTGCCATACTTTTTCCTTTCTTTTCTTTTCTCTTGCTCTTATTTCTGCTTAATGTTGTAGTCCTTGAAATCCTTTACACGCACATGAATGAGCCTATCTACTGTCTCTCTCTCTCTCTCTGTCTGGCTGTCCCTGTCTCTGCGTCTGTCTCTTTCCTTCCTTATTACTGTTTGTCCGTCTGTCTTTTGTTTCTTTTGCCATTTGTTTGTTTGTTTTTCGCTGGCGCCTTCTTTTGTCAAAAGTGCTTTTGCTTGTAATGTGTTCGACGTCAGAACCGAACCGAGACGAGACGCTACGAGTGGAGTGGAGACGACCCCTTTCCCTATCTACGGCTTGTCGCCTCCCACCTTTCTCACACTAAGGGGATAACCTCAGGAGCAGCCTCCTACTTTTTGCTCCTGCGACAGCCCTTTAGTTTCTTGTCTACCCTGTACTTGCTAAGGTAGGGTGTTGCATGCAACAGAAGGAGTGAATCTTGATCGATCTTCACTGCTGGTGGACTAGTATTGCACAGCAGATGCTGCGGATCGATACTGGCATAGCTTCAATTAATCTTTCCAATCCCTGATCAAGAAAAGTACTTCTTCTTGGCTTTTTTGCTATTGTTTGTTTTTCTTTATTTTGTCTAATTTTTCTAAGGTGTTCTTCTACTATTTTTCAGGTATTTCATCTAGTACTTTTCTGGTAGATCATTTTGCATATTTCGGTATTTTTCTAGTATTTTCGGTATTTTCTAGTATTTTTGGTATTTTTCGGCATTTTCTAGAATGGTTCGGTGTTTTCTAGTATTTTCGGTATTTTCTAGCATTTTTTCGGTATTTTCTAGTATTTTTCGGTATTTTCTAGTCTTTTTCGGTATTTTCTAGTATTTTTCGGTATTTTCTAGGAGTCTTCAGTATTTTCTAGTACTTTTGGTATTTTCTAGTATATTTCAGTATTTTTGGTGGAAATATCTTTGCAATTATTCTCTGGCATCATTTTTATAATTATTCTGGTTCCATTTTAAGTATTTCGACTAGTATTTTCTGGTCTTTTATCTTATATTTTGTCTGGTATTTTTCGAACAACCTTCAAAGAATAGTTCTGATACAAAAATATCTAAAACTAAACGAATTTCCATATTTTAGACATATTTTCAGATATTTTTCCCAGGCCTTGGACATTACTTATTGAAAATGACTCGTTTTTGAGAACAGTTGTCTGAATAATGGGTATGTGGTAGCTCTGTAATCCTTTTAGTCTTTTTCTTTTCGCCCTATTTTAGAGGTTCTCCTCTCTGTTCATTTGGCCTTTTCTTCTGCCCCTGTTGCATCTGCTGTTGCTGCTTCTGCTTTTGCTTGTTGCTTTTTGCTTGTTATTTTTATTTCGTTTCCATTCAGTCAGAGCTCAGAACTGGTTTCCTGCCCCCCAACCCTGGCCCACAAACCCAAACCGTCACCCACAAATGTACCGCCCAAAAACCCTCTCTTATGGTCCTTGTTAATGTTGTTCGTTTTCACATTTTTATGTGCATTTTGTGTGTGAGTATGGGTACGGGTGTGGGTGTGTGTGTGTTTGTGTGTGTGTGGGCCATACATCCGCATTTGCTACGCAATTTTTGCACTCAAGTTTACCTACTTTTTATGGTAAACACCCAAGGTTGCTTGTTTATTCTAGCAAAAATGTATTTAGGTGAAGCTTAACTACATGTGAATGTGGGCTGTGGATGAGTACGAATGAGTATGAGTGCGAGTGCGAGTGCGAGTGTGGGCACTGTTTGGAGAGCGGGTAAGCCGGGTAAGCAGTGAGGTTAAGTGAGGTTCTCTCGTTCGGTTTGGGAGTGCCGGAGAGCCCGGGGGTCACACACACAACAGCATTACTCCAAACAACCAAAAAAAAAATTAAAAAACAAGCAGAAAGAACCGAAAGTTAAATAAATACTTCACCGTTTGTTGTGTGCGGAATTCCCGCCCTCCCGAAATTATAGTTTCTTTTTTAGCGGTATTTCAATAATAATATTTTCTTAATAAAAGAAATATTAATTAATCGAGGGTAAAAATAACTCGTTAAATATATAATTTATTCATTTGAATGGAATATAAATACTCAAACACGGATGTACATAGCACTATATTAAGGTCTGAAAGCCTTTCTTTTATTGTTTATCAAAATATCATCAAATAAATGTTTGCATTTAAAAAGACAGGAATCGTAAATACTGAATTTTTATATTTATTTCTGTAAACAATAAAATCATACCCGTAGAAATGTTCAAATTTTAAGCAAATTTTTCGGTGATAAAATTTATTTTTATTAATTAAAAAAATTAAATCTCAAATATAATGATTAATTAATGAGTTATCTTTTGCTGAAAAATAATTATTATAGAATTTTAAATGAAAAACATCCCAAAAAAAAATTGTTTTGTTTGTTTTTTGAAATACTATAAATAATGTTAATTTTATTTGACTCCTTTATTAGAAACTGTGCACGCAAATTTGCCCGTTTTATTACCATTAGAAGTGAATTCGACGTACATTTTCGCATATTTTTTTGGATCCAAAATTGTTTCGGTGAATTCCCTTTTTCCGCAGTAAACGCGAGTGCTTTTGGGGTTTTCAACTGAATCCACGTAGGTGATCACAACCATTCGGTGATTGATGCAGCCCTTTTTCTAAAATTATTAAATGTTAAAATAATAGTTAATAATTTAAAGTAGCACAACTGTTGTCCCAGGCACTCACATCCTTTGGTATGTCCATGTTGCACTTTAGTTCCAGCTGGTTATTAGCCCAATTGGTTACTGCTTTAAGCTTGCAATTGGTTCCGGGTTGGTATTGGGCGGGATAATTGGGACTTCTAAAATAAAACGAAGCTCCCATATCAATCGACTGCTCAAAGTTACAGTCCTCATTCCACTGGATCTCGCCCTTGGCCAGCAAGATGGGAAGCAACAAAAAGCTCAGGATCTCAAAGGTGATGTGCATTTTGCTCAGAACTTGTCGCCGTCAGAGTCAGCACTCAAATGGCTATTCCCTTAACTGGATATACTCATAGAGGTATCGAAGCCAAATCAATGAAGCCAAACAATGAAAAACCTGTCTTTCAGAATTGCCAATTATTCTGTGTACGCTTGATTATGCATAAACCAGTTAACCCTTCGACTGAGACGAGTTTTCAACTACACAAAGGATCTGATACAGGTTGGATTTAGTATATACATAATGTAAGAAGGAACAACAGATAAGAAGCAACGGCAGAAGGAGAGCACTGCAGAGAGGAGAACCGCAGCAGTCAGAGCAGACATAAGCCGAGATCGAGCCGTGAAGTTTCAAATACTTGTTCTTACATTTACCAGCCTACCGCGATTTAGTTTTATTGTCCAGCAACTGAGCTTAGGACAGACAGCTGTATCCCATAAGCACTCCCGCGACGGTTTTTACCCCTAACCAGGGCCATATTGGCCTATGTGTGGCCCCGCTGAGGGTCGTCCGGGCTAACCTTTCCTAACCTAACCTACTGAGCTTTTTCAACAGCGTAATGTTTGTTTTAATTAGGTTTATTCGGATAGGTCGAATAGTAATATAGCGATAGCGACGAGTAAGTGGATCGATTCCAGACGGGGTCTTCTTGAAAACGCAGGGTCGTACCAGTTTGAAGATCAATTAAGCGAAGTGCGAGAAGTCAGTGCTAGATCAAGACTGAATTCAAGGGAAGGCGGGCGAATTGTACTCGCTCTAATTTAAGCGAGGCTTCGACTAGAGCACGACAGAAACGAGAGCGCGACAGATTGAGACAGCGAGAGCGCGAGACAACGAGAGCGAAAGTAAAGAAAAGAAGGAACGGCGCGAC